TTCACGCGCGTTACTGATTCTGGGTAGACTCCTAGAAGCGGGTCGACATTGTGGAGCAGACCTCTGACTTATGAAGGAGGGCGAGGGGGAGGGAGCGTCTAGAATGCATCAACTTTTTCTTGTGCCACTTGCGCTCTGCAACCTATGGTTGTCTTATTCGGCAGGTCGTGGAATGACAATCAACGGCTGTGCTTCCTACCAATAGTAGACGGAGTAGGAAACAACCACTGCTGGAAGACGCCACGTGGAAGATCGTCCCACTCCTCTTTGGTTAGTACCCTTCGTGTTGCGACGATATCAACTTCACACGCTGCCTACGTCTGTGCCTGAACCAGCAACACATCAGCATTCGGCAGCCGCTCTCACTACAAGATACGTGTACATGCCCTCTCTAGGCACCGTAATATGGACTGTAGCGGTGCTCGCTTGGCTGCGATATTCCCCTCATTATTTTTAGATCTTGGCTAGTACCATTGCACGAATTTACAAATTTATTCATATTTATTATGACCCAATTACGTACAAACAAATTCACCCGATGCGAGGACAGGGAGTGAACGATAAGTTTCGAGAGTTCTGCCTTCACAACAATTTACTAAGGCATTCATGCAGTAACTGCTTTTGCCATGCCGATAGTGCCTGGCTTGCATATCATGGATTTGGCAGTATTCTCTGATCAGAGGTGGTCCAAGCATCCAAGATGGATAGAATCCACCACCTGTTGATGGGAAGAAAGCGAACATGCAAAGTCCGATGCCGGCCTGGAATGGATTCATGTGATTTAGAAAACCCAGTTGGAATCCCGATAAATTTACCGAGATTCTGTAATTTGTTGGCCGAAATACTGTAGGTGTTGCCGTTAATCCCGAACTCGATATCAGGATGATCACCGGTGCAATCAATGAAATAGGAACCGAGGGCTTCAATCCATTTTGCTCCAACCCTGCAAGAATAAGTGCATAGAATGAAGTAGGAAGACTAGTTCACGATGAAAAAACTGTTGACAAGGCTAAATTTTTCTTGAGAACACATTTCGCGGTAATTGGATGGGCGGAGGCTGTTGCCTTTCGCATTTGCGTGCCTCTTTTTAGCGTCCTCTTCGTACTGAAAGTAGAGGTGCACCAATGAAGAAGTCACGCTGCTTATGAATTTCCGCCCATTCAATGACCGTGAAGCGTCCTCCAAGTAACTAAAAAGGTCAATTACTATAGCCTGTCCGTGAAGAAATTCAGAAATCTAAAACTCGTGTTGTTCTGTACAAACAAGTTTCATAACCCAGGCTCACTTAGGGCTGAAATGGGGCTGTGGCTCTAGCGCCCACGGTAGAGAGAGAGAGAGAGAGAGAAAAGAGAGAGAGAGAGAGAGTAGGAAACAAATCTGAGACCGGTTCGAACCAGCACATCCCTTTAATTAGGGCCTGTTAGTCAAGAACCACATTTATCTGACAAAACAGGAACTCTCGCTTAAAGACAGTATCCGCGCTCGAGAGGCCTTCAAAATGACTTCGCGCCTTCTGGAACCCTCTGCGCCTTGATGAAGATGATCCCGCTTTTATCCATCAATGGCGCGCGATGAGGAAGTTATCGCAATTTCGACAAGGCTCGCTAGGCTCACGGAGACGGTAGGTGGACGAGGCGTCTGGTCCCGAACTGCATCCGTCCCTTTAAAGCCCGCGCGTCCCTTTAAGCCCGCGTCCCACTGGCATTTTGCCAAAGTTGGCTCATAGCTCAGCTAAAGGTCTTACTTCGGTCAGGCTTGTAAACATGTGTGAAAGTGCGGAACCATTAGAGTTTTTTTGCTTATGGAATGTAGTGCTTGCTTTTCCAATGGTAGGGAGATTTGTTGTCAAGTGGGGTTTGTTGTCATTTTCTTTCTTTTTCTTTTTTTTCTTGTCAATTTCTCAAGAAAACTCCAGCAACCTTCCCAATTTTCTCTGTAAGCAACTCTATCTCATTCGATGAAATGCAGTAACGTTGCGAAGCGGCGCTGTAGCGCTACGCTGTAGCGCGACGCTGTAGCGCTACGCTGTAGCGCGACGCTGTAGCGCTACAAGTATGAACGCTGCCTTACGTTCGAAAGTATCCTATTTCGAAAGTTGGGACGCAATTGCGGCTGCCGCATCGAATTCTGGCAGCCACGCCCGGCACACTCGTCCAGGCCCCGCCCCCACTGCTAAAGGTAGGTTTGGGTTCAAGGTGTTCCCGAAGATTTTTCTGCTTCTTTTTCTACTGAGAAGCTAACTATGGAATACTGGTGCATGACAGAGTACAATTGCCCGCAATACTTGATCGCGATAATTGTCTTTAAATAACTCTGACAAAGTCTTTGGCGAAAGCGACCATTTAAAGCGACAACTTCTCTGTATCGGGATATGCATGGCGCATCTTAGAGACTGAGCGCCAACAAGGTGCTATTGTTCTTCCTTGAGGCCCACTTTAATCTCACTTCCAAATGAGAAGTGTTGAACTTACTGGCTCGCGATGTTGTCGACTATGGCCTTCGGTCCACCGATAAATGTGGATGCTGTGTCAGAGATCGCCTGCCATCCACTGCTGGGAGACGAAATGTATGATCCCACGGACACGCTGAAGTACGGTAGAGATTACAGTAGCTGGTGATGGCTAGGAATTCCAGATTTCCATGAGTGAAAGAAAGTCTCACCTGGACATTTTAAACTGCCAGAAAGTCTTCGATGTCAACGGAATAGGATCGTAAGTAGCGAGCAAGTGATATTGTCCAGACCACCAACAGTCCAACTGTCCTCCGCATCGACCGCAAGAAATGGTCCCAGGATTTGTCGCATGTATACGACAAAGTATGGCTGAATTCCTAGCACTTATCTCTAATCATCTTAGCAGTTCTAGTGTGAGTTCGAATTCTTGCTGCCATCTCCCACATCACGAAGGGATTTTCTTACCTGATCAAGCATTCCCTGATTGAGTAGATTGAACATCGGGGGAGTGATTGAGTCATAGGCCAGAGCTGGCCATCCAAGGCCGATCATACCATCTTCGGGCTGTTTGTCAAACGCTTCTGCCATCTGGGTCACTTGTCCGAAGACTTGCTGGGCTGCACAAACCGTGGAGTTGTAGAGCTGAATGAAAGCACATAGGCATGGGGCAAAAAGCGGGGAACTGCGTGCGAGTATTGCACCAAAAAAGGTGACAAAACAAAGAGCGGGACAAAAGTGTGATGTGCGGAACAGAAGTGTATTGCTGGTACTCCCAGCAATCCATTTTTTTCTAGCTGAATTTTCTATTGCTTTCCTTACATAACCCAGATGGCTCCGTGATGCAGATTACTTACGCAGAAAGTGTCCTGTCCGTAGAATCCGCTGACGTCACCAGTTTGATAGCTCATCGCAAAGGTACCTGGAAAACTGCGTAAATCTCATCAAAATAACTTTTCATCCTTAGTTTGCATTCTTAGATTGTTGCAGTTTCTTTTCTGCACATTCTTAGTTTGCTTCGAAGGAACTTAAAGAAAGATTGGCTATACCTGGTTGTCTTACGTAGGTGCTGGACAATGACTGATTGAAGCTGTGCTTGGTTGTGCAGGCATTCTTCGTTCTGAAGGATATCATATCACTATCAGAAAGACAATTAACCTCCAATAGAGAGGCATGGGGCCGCGTTCACAGAGGCAGTTCGCAGCAGATATTGGGTATTGGAGGAAGTATTTCTTAAAACTCACGCAAGAACATTGCCGGAATGCTTGCAACACTCGGGTTGGCAGAATGTTAGACAGAGATCGTATGGTGACTGAAAGAGCGGTCGAACTTATCATGAGCTTAAAGCCACCATTTGAATAAATGAAAAAGTAAGTGAATGAGCAATCAAAATTAATTGAAATGAAACCGGTATATTTTCCGCCTAACAATCTCGTAAGGCACAAGACAGTGAACACTCACAACTAGTATGCCAAGGTTGCATGATAGCTGGAGAATCAACGCTGATTTTGAATTCCAAGATCTGTGTTTACGCCACAATGATGTTTCGGTCTAGACCCTCGCGGCTATCCTACTCTAGGTCTCACCACACTCTACTCAGTTTACTCAAAAGGAAAATATCTCGCTAAAAGTACAGGCACCGCTAATGTAAGTATAGTCGAGGCACGCCCACAGCAACGCAGGGATTTCAAGTGTATGTGGCAGGAAAACGCCCTTTTTTGCCCCCAGCTACATATGTACTGCGCTTGCTACTGTGCTACCGTTGATGCAACGTACAATCATTTTCGCAGCAGATGCAAAGGGGCAGGATTTGGCGATCTCGTTTTTCACCACCTGTACCCTTTAGCACCCTAACACGCCCCAGTTTCCGCAGTGAAAACGACTGTGAAGCACCTACTTGAAAGAGCAGTTTCAATCGAAACTCTACGTAGTTGTGGGAAGGATTACCCTACTGAGCGCGTATAGGGGTGCAGAAATCGAGGCATGGAGTCGTGCTTCAAGTCGGTTTCAATGGTAGGTGTTTTCTGCTATGTGCCTCGGGAAGGCTATTATCGAGGAGCTTAGCCGACGTCACCTTCCCAGTTCACAAAGGCGCGTCGTGCTGTTCAAGTGGATTAATGCAGTGAGATGGAAATATGCCATCTCGATACCACGTCAGAATGTGCTACATGCCACGCCATCTAATGCATGCAGCATCACGGCCGCTTCATACCAATCCCTTCGCTTCATAATTTGCTTAGCAAATGAATGAATACGAGCGTCAGGAACGGTCGTCCATTTGTGGGCGGGCGGGCGTGGGGAGAAACCGCTATGCAGCGCGTGCCCAGGGTAGTGGAATTATGTTCTGCCAGGGGTATTGATCCTAGTCGTCGGGAGATCTATCCTGCCAACTGCCTTTGAAGGCGGAGTGCAGTCGACATGATGTGCCCTAGCCACCCTCTAGCGGAGCCTATGGTTAGCTCGGCTAGAGGGTAGCTCCATCCGAGGCACATATCTTGCTCAATAAAATTAAACACTCTTCTGAATACCTGCTCACAGTAGGTACCACAACTCGATGACTGTCCTTCAGAGCAGGTTGAATCCGGCACCCAGAGATTCGACGATCCGGAGTCAAGGAATACGACGAACGTCTGCGGTGTTTCAGCTGATAAATTATATGTTGTTCAACTGGAACACACTCCGAAATGACCCAGACAATTCTATGTAGCAAAATCAAATAGCAGAAGAAAATACTAAGTTGTTAACTGCCCCACGCAACTATTGGTTAAGTTAAATGGTCACAAGCTACTACCCGCTGGCATGGAAATTACAGTGTGCAGCACAACTAAACTCTAGCCGAAGCACCAAACCGGGTACCGAACCTTATCTAGACGCGCCACCGAATATCGAGGGTTTAAAGGAATTCCGGTACGAGCGTTAATCTAGCTGCTGATGATAGCGTGGAACAGCTCGAATGAATGCAGTTTAAATGAAAGTGAGGTAATCCACTGTTATTTCCGCGATCGATGGTGCTTCGGCCTGTCTTGAGAGCAAAGTGGACTTCGTAGTAAGTGGTGCGATGTTCTAATGTCCCCTCAGCAAGTGTGGCCCACATGCCGGCTCGCAAGTCCCCCTGGATACAAAAAACGCTGACAATGAGAGGGTCTACAACTTGACTCCACTGCACACAGTCAGAAATGAGGACGGAGAGGAAGGAGAGCTTCTGTCATCTGAAGGCTTGAAGGCAGCGTTTGTGATGGTGAGAGCACCGCTTTTTTTCTCATGCAGGGCCCCTGACGACAAGCCGAGGGGAAGAATTTGACTTTGAAACTGGGGCGAAGAACACAGGAGCCTTAAGGAAACGATGCAGGACGTCACAATGAATAGAACTTAACCTGAAATCCGAGATTACAGCGATGCCTCGAGAAAGGAGAACTTGGCGCCAAATACTACGGGCTCATTCGGGTCGGTACCAGGGAGCAGTAGAAGAGAAAAGAAGCTCACCCATGTAAGCCATGTCGTCGTAGTCGATGACAGGAGTGCTGACAGCGTCGGCCCTTGATATTTTAGCCATGCGAGCGGCCTTTTGGTTCAGATGCTGCTCCAGCTTCCCCTCTGCGTACAACCTCATGTTTCAACGAGTGGTGGTGTACCTGAAACAACTTACTTTTTGACCACTTACTATGAATGCACTTGCTGTGGGAACGTTGGCAAGTAATGCGAAAAAAACTAGTTACTTGAGTTCCAAGTTTTGTGTACGCAGACATGTGGGCAAGAGCAAGGCACATAGTCAAGTGGTCACGCGACAGAAAACGTCCTTCAATTGTTCACTCGAATAGCCAGTGTCACGACGACAGAAAACGTCTTCATTGTCACTGAACTCTGAAAACTTGAATTTGCCTTTCAGAGCATTGCTAAACAATGAGAAACCTGCTGAAATTCGTCGGATTTCAGATTGCAGAACAAAAAAATGCAAGGCGTTCTTTCCAAAAGCCGGTGGTTTTGCCACGCATTTCCCTGATGTCATGTGTGCCTAGTCCTAATTGATACTTATCAGTCTCTGATAACTAATAAATAAACAGTCGACAAATAACTTGAAAATTAGCTGTATCACGAAGAAAAGTTCTTTCCATATACTTCAAATGGTCTGTAACGATGCATATGATTTTGTTTTTTAATTGAAGTTGATTGTGGTCATGCATACATATCTAAATGTGGGTTCTGATAAGAAACCCTAATATCATTGCGGAATTTTTTTTGCGGCTTCGGCTCCTCACCGCCTTTGCAGCTCCCAAACTGTCGCCGTGTGGGGTGCAAGGCGCGTCATGACGTTACGTGGTAAAAAAAATTGTGTTAGATACGCGCACCCCCTTCGAACTTTTCCCACTGATGCGTCTCCCAATCACCCGAAACTGTGCCTTCCAACGGGTGGGGGGTACGTGTGGGATGCGATCCATCTCAGAATGTTGTCCTGTCGCACCGTCATCCAAGGAGGTGGAGATTTGTGCGAAAAGGCGAGGGCAAACGCCATACAGCGCACGAAAATGGAGCAGTTATAAATTGGAAACAATGTGCCGTAGCTTTACACGATCCCCCTCTCGCGAGAGGCCAAATGCGACCCCTCATCCTATGTGTTTGACTCAGCGATGATGTGCTTCGATGGGAAGAGCTTTTCGAACAGTAACAGGGTTTTGCCGATAGAACGATGAACTTGTGAAAAAATTGGCATTTCCCTGGGTGTTG